GGACAAAACCTTGTATCTCCATTTTTGTCGTTTTTCACTTTTTGACATAATTTGAAAACTCTTGTCGCCCTTTACATTGTCTTTAAATTTCATGATGAATGGACCAAAAGAAACGAGTGAAAAACATCTGGTTCCACTGACTTAAATTGAAAGTAAAGAAGGTTTTTTCCTTCTCCTGTAAAGTTCAATTTTGGAGATACAAGGTTTTGTTCCAACAAAATCGATATTAATGTTACAAATTAAATGTATTGAAGCTATCAGGTTTTACCTTCATGTTTCATGGGTCATCATTTTAATTTGCTACGGGAACTTATGTTGAGGTAGAGACTGGACAACAGGGTAACATTCATAGGTTTGCAGGCTTGAGCAGGTGAGGTAAAACAGGAACAGTAGCCACGCCCACAGGAAGCAGAGATAGAAATAATCGCTGACTAATCATAAAAATAATCGAGAGATTAGTCAACTATAAAAATAATCATTAGTTGCAGCCCTAATATTGGGTGATGTGACATATTGAGTGTTTAAGTAGTGTCACCATGACACCCTATTTTCAGACATTCATCTCAGATCAGATTTAGTATTTTAGAAAGAAAATATCGGTTTAGTATTGGTCGATACCTAAAGTTTCGGTATCAGTATCGATATCAGAAAAGAAAAAGTGGTATTGTGCTATTTCCAGTCTTATATTATTTCACAATATTCTCTGTTCATTTCAGATGTTCAGCAAGGCCTGAAGGTACAAAGTAGGTCACTAAAAGAAAAGAAGGCACACCTGCTGACTTTGTAGCCCGATGGTTTCCTAATTTATTCACAATCAAACTGTGATTAGAGCTGAACTAAATGAGATACTTATTTTAGCTTTTTGCCTTTAAGGTAAGTCAGAATAGGGACAGCCAGTAGCATTTTCACAGTGTTGCCCTGACAGGGTCTCTGCAGAGACTGCAGCTTTGTATCTTTTCTTAATGTGCCTATTGTGTCATAAAGCATCTGTACAGCTTTTGTGTATCTTTGTAGAATGGTTTCTTAAATGATCCTCGTATATAATTAGTAATTTATTTTATTTTCCACTCCACAGTACTGAGCAAAAAGTAGGAGACAATCTTTAACTTCCAGTTTTTCAGCTCTGAAAAAATTCACGTTTCTGTCTAATCTTCCTCTGTGAGAAGGCAACACATTACTGTAGGTCTGAAAAGACGCGTAGCTAACTAGAAGCCGCTATGTAGTAAAGAAAATTTGCAAATCAAGCAAAGAGGCTGCTGATGTTTTCAGAACAACGGACTGACCACCCCAGAGTCCAGACCTCAACATCTTTGAGTGTGTTTGAGATCACTTGGATCATGAGAAGGACAATGCAACCAACTTCTAAGACTGAACTGTGGAGGTGGGGAAAAATCAGATTTCTTTGATAAACTGAAAGCAAGTTTTATATTTTGATTTTGTATTTGACTTTATTTTGATAAAGGCAAAGGCTGCAAGCAGTAAATACTGAAAAAAAGTGATATTATATTTAGTCATTGAGGCTTCTGTGTTAATTTAATACTGTTAATTTGCTGCTAATTTCTGTTAAATATGCTTTCTGCTCTTTTCCTGACACTGAGAAACAGGTAACTTGTAGGTAATGAATGTTTTGACTGCACATTAAATGAATCAATAAATTAAAAGTGTTCTGATTAGGGTTTCTGACACATTCCTGGGATATTCTTGGACTGTAAAATGAAAAAAAAACTAAAAAAACATGCAACGGTTTATCTGAGCCACTCACCCACCCTCCGCTCTTTCCCAACAACAAAGAAAGGACCTGCCAAGAAAGTTCACAGGGGTATTTTTAAGGTTTCTTACGTTTCTAGCAACAACAGGTCTCAAATGCTGGAATGATTTGCTGTACACTGAGACACAGGAGGCCTATTTTCACAAGCACTTCTACACAAGGCCTGTCACAACCGTGAAGGAGAGTGACTGAACCTGTCCGTACTGCACTGGCTGCAGCCTGCACTGCGAGAAATCTGTGCAAGAAATGCATGGCGCTTGTGTCACAGTGCATAATAATGTGCCTCTTGCTCGAACTGCTCGGCGGTTTGAATAGCGTAGACTATATTTAGTCGTTGAGGCTTCTGTGTAATTTTCTGTTAAATATATGTTTTCTGCTTTTTTTTTTTCCTGACACTGAACTTGTACATAATGGCTGTTTTGACTGGAAGTTAAATAAATCAATAGCGGTCTTTGACTTTTGCACAGAACTGTACGTAAATACCTCAGTCTAAATGAGTGGCTCGACCATACATGCTAACGTTGTTAACAATTAATGGAAAACAGGAGCACCAGACAGCATGACATCATTTGCATATTGTTAATTGGTGGCAAATAGATTCCACTCTAATCCAATGTTAGCAATGTTTTTTACTAATTCATTAAAATACAAACAACACAGAAAGACGCCCGCTGCTGCAACATTAGCCTCTGAGCATGAGAGAGCACCTTAACAAACCTAATCACCGGATTTTGGACTCTATTGTAGGCCTGGCTGTGTCAGTATATCACTTGAGAGCCAATGCAACTATTGTACACAACCTACTTACCAGTCATACATGGTTGAGCATCATACAATACATACACATACACTACGTGTCCAAACAGCTGCTCATTTAATGTTTCTTCTGAAATTAACAGCACAAATTGGAAATTTGCTGCAGTAGCAGCCTCTACTCTTCTGGGAAGACTTTAAACTAGATGTTGGAACATTGCTGTGAGGAGCTGATTGTATTCAGCCACGAGAACATTAGTGAGGTCAGGTACTGATGTTGGATGATTAGTTCTGGATTGCAAAGGTGACTCCAATTCATCCCAAAGGTACTGGATGGAGCTTCAGACTCCAGAGACTGCAGTTTCACTGCTCCACAGTCCAATGTTGGGGAGCTTTAACCCCTCTGGCTGGGGCTTGGCTTCGGGCATGGTGACCATAGACTAAAGTGTGGCTGCTCCAGAGCATCCCATTCCATTCACAGTGTCTTTCTATGGAGATTGTAGAATCACAATTGAAATCCTGTGCCAAAAATGGGTGCAGGTTCAAGTTTAGTCATTAGAAGGGGCGTCTGGATACTTTTGGACACATAGTGTACATGCTGCATACTCTAGATTCTTGTTTAGTGTGCTTAGTTATTAATTTTACTGTGAAAATCCAGAAATATATTATTAAATTGTTTCACATGAGGAACCATGAATTACCACAGACTATGATGAGCATTATGATTTGTTAGTGCACTGTTTTCATACAAAGGCAACAACAAACAAACAAAAACAGCTTAAGCAGAACAACTGGAGTGTACAATTAATTGATTCAAGCATTACATAATATATCTTAGAACTCTCAGGAGCATAAAATGACTAAATTACTTATCATCGACCCCTGAGCATGAAAAAATCAAGTAAGATTTGAATTATTTACTGCAAATCAACAGAAACAGGTGAGCAACACCTGGTAATTACGTTACGAAACATACTCTCATGCTCATTTCAAGTCTCACCCGTTCTGAAACAACTCTCTCCTGCTTTACGAGCTTGTTCATACATCACATCATAAACATACAGACATAATTCATCCGCACTGCAATTTCCACGTCGCCCGTTCCAATTAGGGCTCTGACTCCGAGGGCGACGGAGTTATGGCGCTGACTTTAGAGAGGACGTACCAGTCGCTCTCTTCTGTTTTTCGCTCCCATGTTGGCTTGTTTACATACCTCCTTTTCTACATATTTTCTTGTTGGGTTTTCTGGCACATTCCTTGGATATTCTTTTGACTGTAAAATGAATAAAAAACTCCAAAATAACAGAAGGCTCCAGAAGAAAATTGGGAGGAGAACATGCAACAGTTTATCTGAGCCACCCACCCCCCTTCCCCCCCAGCCCCACCGCCCCTTTCCCTTTATCAATCAAGAACAACAAGAACAACAAAAAAAGTACCTGTCAAGAAAGTTCACTGGGGTATTATTTTAAGGTTTCTTATGTTTTTAGCAATAAAAAGTCCCAAATGCTGGAACTGATTTGCTGTACCCTGGGACACAGGAAGCCTATTTTCACATGCACTTCTACATAAGGCCCGTTACAACCACGAAGGGGAGGGACTGAACTTCTCCGTATTGCATTGGCTGCACCATGCATGCATGGCGAATGCATGGCGCTTGTGCCGTAGTGCATCATAATGTGCCTCTTGCTCAAATTGCTTTGCAGTTTAAACGGCGTAGATTTGAGCAAAAGCGCTCTTTGAGGGGTGCCATGTGTTTACAAAGTCCATTTCGGTTCCTGCTGTGTAAGCATTCATAACAGCATAAATATTCACAACCGTTTAACTTTCAAAGCTTTACGGACTTTCATCAGCTCGTGGGAACCTACAGTACGTTTGAAACAAAGTCTTTGTTCTGCGGGTTTGTCATCTTCACCTTATTAGCTTAAACTATGGCACCCCGGTGTCGTTCTTTGTGAATTTAAATGGAGCTCAGAAACACAGATTTGGGACAGAGGGAGAAGCAAACAGGACTGTAACGGGTCTTACATGGCTAAGACTGATGCCACAGGCCTCTCGTGTTCCAGAATCGTTCACCAACCCTACAAAAGGACCGAGCAGGCTAATCGCTAAGCTCAAAACCCCCAGAACAGTCAAGACAGTGAGGAGAGGGAGGTGCACCAAGATCATTAAATCCAATCTTCGTGTCAGATTATAATCTGAGCTCTCATGTTAAGAGATCTTTTTTTTTTTCTTTTTCTTTTTCAAGATTGATTGGTTACTTTGGCTTTGACACAAAAGAGGAACCCATAACAGTGGCATGGAAGGGAAGAGCTAATGGAAAGACGTCATGGAATATCAAGTCAAGATGAGGTATTGAGATGGTGGACACAGACACAGCATGCGCCAGACAAGTCATGCTCCAAACACAATACAGAGGGTGACAGAAGAAACAGAAGTGAAAATAGAAGGTTTGCGTTTCCTGTATACCCGACAGACTCACCATCCTCGGTTGGGACATAGATGTTTAGATACAAACAATCCTCGTTTTGATCCTGTATGTATGTGGCAACTATATCCAGGTTAAATGTGAACCAGATAGGCATCATGATCTCTGGCACGGCGTTGTGGATGTTTTGCGGGCACACGGGCGCAAAGTGGGTGGCGTTCTTGATCCCTGACCAAGAGGAGGGCGGCTCGGGGGGCAGGAAACGTTTCTCGCCAGTGGGCGGGGCAGCGTATGGCACGCCCAGGTACTGGTCCACGGGCCCCAGGATCTCGCTGGGCAGCGGGACCCGCACCCCCCGTAGCTTCCCGTAGTGAGTGTTCACTGTAGGGTAGTAGCTCTGTCCCCTGACCAGCGCCAACCCCCAGCAAAAAAACATCCATATCCACAGAGACGCGCCCTGGCCGCCGCAGAAGGCGCCGTGGCCCGGGAACATCTGGCTCCTCCGTGCCGTAGGCCACATGGTCCGTGAAAAAACGAGATGCCAACACACGCTCGGCACACACTCTCCCTCAGTACAGGTCTCCGTCCTTCAGTTCCTCAACTCTCGTTCCTGTCATTGGCCACGTTGATGAGGCTATGTAGATTAAAAAAACACTCCTACACACGCTCTATTCCACTTTTGTCCAGATGGGTCCTCATTCACTGTCCAGTCCTCTTGTCAGATCGGCTCGCCTGCACAGAGGACAAAAAAAAAAAAGAGGACAGGAAAATTAATGACAATTCCCAGACAGCTAGCTGCTTTTTTTCCCTTTCTTTACTCACTCACTTTTATTGACTTAGGGAGTGCTTTTCTGCGCCACAATAAACCAGCACGCATAAATATGACAGTGGGTCTAATGCAGCCATCAATCAGCACAATCAAGAGCAGGCCTACAAGAGAACAAGGGCCCCCGTACGAGCACGACTTCCATATCATCCATGCACAGCTGCAGCAAGGGACAGGGAGAGCGGCGTATGCATTAGAAACAGTGATCTAGCAAAAGATATAGGGGGGTCTCTGCTTTCCATCAGTCACGGCGAACAAATAAAAAACTTCCATCAAGCAAATATATTAACCTCACCCTCCCTGCTCCCCACACCTTATAGAAGAAGACGTGCGAAATAACATTTCCTGCCGAGGCTCTCTGGGCCCTTCCGGAAAGATCACATTTGCAAATGCTACATGGGCGGCAGGCGCCCAGCACTGTAAATGCTAATCAGTGGTGGAGCAAAGGGAGTCCCGGTGGAGTGGAACCCTTCTCCGTGCAGCGCTGATCAATTTTCAGTTCTTAAAGCTTAAGACCCCTCAGCCCTGGGCAGCCTCTCGGAGGGTATGGAATGACAATGGAGGAGGAAAGCTGGAGTTTGAGGCTGGATATTGCATCCCAAAGTGACTGTAAATGATTTATAATGTATCGTCGCCCCGTCTGGGGGGGGCGCTAACCACCTGGGAGAAGCAATATGAACATTCCTTGAGGTGCACTTATCACGGCACCACACTTCTCCCCTTCGCTCAAAGCCTGCCAGTATATTCCTCCGCCTCATACATGTGACTCTCATCATCTACACTCACTTATCTCCCTCGACAAACAGCCAGGGAGGGAGTGCAGGGCAAGGCTCGGCTGAGTCCCACAGCCCACTTGAGCACAGGAAACAGGGCTTCATTGCTATCTCCTCTGCACACTGAACAGTCGGGAAATATTTTGTTTTTTCCCCCAAAGCCAGGGCACATCTTGTTCAATAAACTGAGAGACGCTCAGACACAAAGTATTGATTGGTGTTTGCAGAAAAACTCAGAATAAGTTATTAACTTGGGAATTATTTCAGCGATCAAAGTAACCAGCGCAGTCATTCTGACTAAGCTTCCACTTAATTTAGTACGTTAACTGCTGACATTTGAAAATGATGCCTACGATGAGCAACGCTGTGTCAAACGGCAGCTTATGTCAAAAAATATTACACTGTTCTGCACTCATATCAGAAGTCAATGGCACGAAAAGCACATTAAAGGCTGTACTTACCGTTGGCCCGGCTAATCACTGCAAAATATTATTGGCCATGTTAATGGCCTCACAGCTGTGCTGTATTTACTAAGATGAATTATGCAATTGAATTGGAGTGTGATTCAACCTCTGGTGTTTCGCTCGGTATTAATCTGCAGGAGTGCAGCCCTCGCTCCATAAACATGGCACGGGAGCAAAATGCACAGTCGCCGTTCCTCAAAATCGACAGCGGGTTCACGGCACCCATGTGGCGACACCGGGGTGATGTCATGTGACTGGTGGCAGAGCGACGGTGGTCACCTCAGATCGTGAGCGCCTGCTGAATTCCCAGCTGGAACGGAGCAAACAGGAGTTCTCTCCAATCAGCTCTCATCGAGCCTAGAAAGTATTGATCGTCTCGCTGGCTTGGCCTTGTGGCTGCTCATAAATAAAGGGCAAAGGCAAACTGCACAGGCTGAGAGGGGTTATTAGTGACTAATAGAGGACTGTGCTCCTGTATGTACATGTCATTACGTGCCCTCCTCCTCCTCCTCCTCCTCCTCCTCTCTCTCACAGCGTGTCAAACTCAAACTGTCTCCCTTTTCTGTTTACCCAGATTAGGATGCAACAGATATGAACATTTTGTCGCTTATAGTGATGCTGATTTAAAACACACTCAGAAGGTTGAGTTAAACAGCGCTTTGTTGACTGATTTGACTGTCAGGTGTCGAAACATAAGTTCTTAAACTAAAAAGTGCGGGGGGTGGGGGGTGGGTGCATTGGAGCATTGAATTTACTGGTTTCTGTTGATTAGATTATTTTTCATTGTTTACATTTACAGCGTTTGGCAGATGCTCTTATCTAGAGTGATGTGTGACGCACAACAACCTATTCACGTCAACTAAACTGAGCATGATAAGGAAACATTTCACAGAACTTGTTCTGAGTGTATATTTGTACCTCGTATGAACATCAAATAGTATCCATTTGATTTTTTTATTACATGTAATTTTCATACTTTAATGACAGCAAAATTAGGATTTTCTATTGTTTTGTTGGAAACCAACAGACTTATATGACCAAAAGAATAAATATAATTTGATAAACATTTTTTTAACTATGAAAAATGTTTTCAAGCGAGCTCAAAGAACATACGGACCCAAAGAAATGTAACATTTCTGATGGATTGCCTGCCCAATGCACATCAGTTCCCTTCACAGAAAGACTTACTGGGTTGTATCATATTATTTTCATCCTAACTGGTTTCATATGTATGGTGTTGTGTGTTTAAATTAGAGCCAATGGATATGGGTATGAATGGGTAAAATACGGCACCTCTAATAACTAAAATAGCATGCTTTGTGCACTGAAAGGCTAATATATATATATACACATTTTTCCACATTCATAAAATGCATATTTACTTTTATGTTAAGAGTAAACAGTGGGGAGGGTAACACACTAATGTTTAATGTTTGCTCATCATAAACGAGAATTACCAGTGAGTTTCACCGCCTGTGCAATGTGAGACGTTGTCACATTTTCATCTCATTTTCATTTACACATGAAATTCAATGTTTCGCAACATGTATGAAAAGTGGGTTTAGCTTATAATCTAAATAAGTCAACAGTAAAAATTGTAATTGCATTTTTAAATTTGAACTGCATTTTTAATTTACAGTGGATTTTACAAAGAATTCACTTTACACATGTGAAAATGACATCATCAGTATATGAATTTTTACTAGTCGAAATGTAATATTTACTAGTGGAATTTTTATTTTCACATGTAAACTGAATCTCTGAGATCAAGAAAAAAAAAAATTAAAGGTAAAACAGCTTGTCTTGTTACAGCAATCAGACCTGCAGCATGTTCATTTTGTTTTTAACTATGTAAAAAAATGGCCACACGTTAAACTTTAATTCATGTTACTGCAATTATAATGAATAAGAAAAAGACTTGAATTCTTACCAATGAGAAATGAAATCCTACATGCTAAAATATAATTCTGACAATTAAAAGTTACATTTTAAGATGTCATTTTTTTCCTAGTATAAACATTTTCTGATAAAAAAACGATTAAAAGTTCAAAGCCTCTTTACCAAACAACTTATTACTATTTGCAGCACTTCTTCCCTTAAAATCCGTAGCTCTGTTTCTGAGAATATTGGTTTTCTTTGTTTCTTTGTTCATATCCATTTTAGCAGCCAACTGGAGCTTCACTTGCTGTAGGTCTTTCATATGTGTTTCAAATGACATTATACATGTCAACTTTGATTGGCTCTTGACCAGGACACCAGTAGAAATACTGTAGTGTTAAAAAGACAGCATCACAATACTTCTAAGAGTAGCTCTTATTCACCATGCTGTACATCCTGTGTGGTGTAGCGCTGTTACCGCCCAGTTTTATGAATCTGGTCCATTATTTCTCAAAAAGTTCCTTATGATGGTGCAGATTTGTTGTGACAGTGGCCATTATTGCTTCATCCATTTTACCATACAGTCTATGCATTTTACACACAATACTGAGAATGAGAATAGTCATGAAGTATTTTACTGGCTAATAGATCAGAGTAGTTTTGAGCTGTGTAAGAGTGTGTGCTGTGGTTATCTGTTTGCCCCTCGGAGAGCAGGATTCAAGGCAAGTGCGGGGAAGTATTCGTTAGGTGCTGCAATATGTTTATTGTGGAAACTCAACTTAAATGACGTTTGAATGGAGAAACAAACGTTAAATATCAGCCTGAATGTCGTGGGTCGGAAAACTGCGTCGTGTTTCATCAGACGTGATTCTGTAAGTTTGCTCATGCAGTTAGTTCAGAGTTCAGCTCCAGTCCTGAAACCCCTGCACTGCATAACTGTGGTTCTGGTTAAAATACCTGATATTATTAGCTAATTAATCCCTTCTTGAGCTGAACGAGGTGTAAACAGCAGAAAGAAGCACTAAACTATACAGTGCAGCGGCTCCAAGCCTGGAGTGAAAACACTGAGTTAAAGGTCTGTGTCACCTCGTCTTGCAGGTGAATCATTCACAAAGCACAGCAAATTGAAGGCATCGCGTTATATAGTCACCCCCTGATTCGATCCTCAAAATGGCGGCGACTGTACAGTGTGACGTCACGCATAACGCAAGAATATCAGTCAGGCACTTATCCACAACTTCCTCTTCTATGGTACCATGCTGCGCGATGCCACACAGAGAGGAAGGCTACGTTATGTCTGACGCACATCTCAGCAGTATCTAAAACCCGGGCACAATGGTTAAAAGCTGAGCATCCTGACCACTGAGAGGAGAGTGCTATTAAGGGCACCAGTGATTGCTGCTCCTGTAACATAGCTCTCCAGCATTAAAGCTGCTCCCAGTGAGAGTTAGCCAAGGCCAACAATAACAGCTACTAGCCATCGCATTCCGCACTTCTCTGTGAATTGCAGAGCACTTTAATTTGAAGGACCCATACTCGGAGAAAAATAGCCGATGTTAAGTCTCTAGTGTACACGTGTAGTGGATGATGTATATATGAGGAGCCGATTTAAAACATTCCAGAAGTTTGGTACTTTCCTATATCAGATGAAGAGGATTACAAAGGGGAATTGAACTAGTGATACGTGTAAAGGAAGCAGAATTACTTAAGCGCAACTGTTAGCCCACCAGGCCATTACCTGTTTTTGTAGTCATTTGTGTCTATAGCAGGTGCATTTCTCATTTTCCCTGTATTACCCACACTGTTCCCTCTATTACACACACTGGTAAACATTTTCCAAGGCTTTCAGGTAACGGTTTATATCCTGTAGTCATGCTTTAGTGTTTTTTTTAACATAACGTATTAAGTGTTCAACGCTAATGTTCACGTAGGGCTTACAGAACATATAGCCTACCACATACAGCAGAGGTTCTCATTTGCCTAAGGACCATTTTTTAAGTTAAAAAGTAATTATGGACTTTGAAAAAACTGGGTTGAACCTTGCTGTGAGCACTTCAGTAACACCTATTAATCATAACTTAGATTCCAGCTGGCAGCAAAATGGCGCAACGTACACGGTTTGTTAGTGGAAAGGAAATGATGAAAAGCAATGAGCGAGAGGAAACCCGGCTGAGGAGTCTCAAACTATTACTCTCCGCAAGGAAACAGCGGCGTGTTTCCGTCGCTTTCTACACATTTCATACGTTTCAAAGTTCCTCCATAGGCAAGATCTCAGCAATCAGCAATGACTCGCGCTCAAAATGCCATGGTGCTCTGTCTATCCCCGCCTCAGCGAAAGCTGCCGGCCATGACGAACGGCACTGCACCATATTTAATCAAAGAGATTGGCATGTTGCACAAAGAATAAGCATTTGGGAAATGTCAAAATACAGTCGTCCATTCCAAATAATCCTGGCAGGGGAGACTGGGCCGCAGAAAACAGCCGATGCAGTCATTATTGCATTGCTTGGGCTTTGGCATAATATCAAGGACAAATCAGTGCAGCCCCGTGGAGCTGTGATCACCGCACCAGCTCAGTTTAAACAGGGACAGAGTTGGGGGGGGGAACAAGGAGCTGACCATCGTTATCCTTCACTATTGCCAGGAACACAGGTTGCATGGAAAGCTGCGAAGGCACAGTGTGAAAAACAGAACCAACTCTTGTGTAGTCAGAGGAAAATGTCAGCTGCATCCAGCGCGACATCCAGCGTGACACAGATACCCAGTGCAAGCATACGGTTCAACGTCAGTGCAACAGCATTCAATTTTAGGAGAGCCTATTCCTACATAAATGATGGAAGAAACTCCTGACTCTAATCAATATGTACACATATGCAGTTGTGACTGGCATGTTTCTTTTTTCTGAATTTATACAAATATTATTTCATTTTATTGTAAATTTGTTTTGGCTAGTTTATGTTTATGAACAGAGACCTACAGATGCAGCTTAGTAAAGGAAACTCATTTGTGAATCTGAGTTTAAAGTTTTTATTAAACTTAAACTTGTAACTAAGTTGAAAATAAATCTTAAACTGAAACTTTGCTTGTTTGTAAAAAGTGATTTCAGAGCCACTCAGTTCTACCTGATGGAAACTGTTTGCCTTCAGTGTTTTGTGCTTATGATAATTTTAATAGACATCAGCGTCACTAATTAATGACTCTATTAAAAGACTGGTTTACCAAGAGAGACACTGGAGTATTTTCACCTAAAATGAGTTAATGAAGCGAGTCTTGTTACAAAAATGATAACAGGACATCAGAGTCATAATTAATCTTTTAGTGCTTTTACTTTTGATACTTAAGTACATTTGAAGGCAAATGCTTTAGTACTTTTACTCAAGTGGAGGTCTAAAGGGAGGAACTTCTACTTTTACTGGAGTAATATTTTACCTTGGGTGTCTCTACTTTAACTCGAGTACATGGTTTGTGTTCTTCGTCCACCACTGAGAATTATGCATACAGTCCAGCTGCCTTTTAGTGTCCGTGTTG